GAAGAACATGTAGATGGACAGACAGACTGAGAGACAGACAGAATTATTAAAGAGTGACGCAGACAGACAGAAAAAGAAAGAAAAATACAGAGACAGAGAAAGAAAAACAGACAGTGAGAGAAAGACAAACAGAAGGACATATAGATGGAGAGACAGACGCACAGATAGACTGACAGACAGACAGAAAAACAGAGAGGCAGACAGAAAGACAAAAACAGACGACAAACAAGGACATACAGATGGACAGAGAGACAGACAGAATTATTAAAGAGTGACACAGACAGACATATGAAAGATATATAGACAGAGAGACAGACAGAAAAACAGAGACGGTGAGAGAAAGACAGAGAGGCAGAAGACAGAAAGACAAAGACAGACGACAAACAGAAGAACATATAGATGGACAGACAGACTGAGAGACAGACAGAATTATTAAAGAGTGACAGACAGACAGACAGACAAAGAAAGAAAGATATGTAGACAGAGAAAGAAAAACAGACGGTGAGAGAAAGACAAACAGAAGGACATATAGATGGAGAGACAGACGCACCGATAGACTGACAGACAGACAGAATTATTTAAGAGAGATACAAACAGATGAACAGATGAAAGATATATAGACAGAGAGACAGACAGAAAAACAGAGATGTTGAGAGAAAGACAGAGAGACAGACAAAAAGACAAAGACAGACAACAAACAGAAGGACATATAGATGGACAGACAGACAGACAGACTGAGAGACAGACAGAATTATGAATGCGTGGTGAAGCAGGTTTTGTTTTTATGCTCAAAAGATGCGAAACACAACCATCAAATATTCAACAAGTTCCAGCGGTTAAGCAGTTAACTAGCTTTTATTATTTTCCATGTTACTTTTACATCACTGTTATTTTTTTGACATTTTATTATATTTTTTACTGATCACATTTTTGATTGTTATATAGTTTTATATTTATATTATCATTTTTTCTGAGACTGCTTTTTATTTGTTGCCTTTTTGTCTTTTTTTTATTTGCCTTTCTCCTTACTCTTTCAAATGAATTGATAGATCAATAGACAGACCATTCATTATTTATTTATTTTTATTTTGCGCAGTAGAATCTGAGACCTGAGAAACCTGAGAAGCTTGAGCTGGTGCTTTCCCTTCAATACAAAAATTAATTTAATGAACAGAAATGAACTCCGTCGTGAGCCGAAGCCTCCTGACTGAACTTTATTCAGTTTATTAACTATATTAGATGTTGTTGGGTTTTTGTAGAAGCCTCTCGTGTGGATGAATAATGATATTTATTCTCTGTCTTACTGCAGAGTCATGAGATGTGTGCGCTGCTGATTCTGGCTGAGATCGACGATCCTTCCCTCATCAACGCTACAAACAGTGCACTACAGATGTGAGCGCTCACAAATACATTCAGTGCATGTTTAACAGCGTCCCGACCACGTGATTTATTTTTTCTCACTTTTACATCTTGCGCTAGGCCGCTCCACATTGCGGCGAGGAACGGTCTGGCCACCGTGGTGGAGGTGCTCCTGAGTCGAGGTGCTACAGTACTGGCTGTAGATGAAGAAGGTTAGTACTCCATCTTGTTTCTTTTTTTACTGTTCAAAGTAAAACAAGGGAAGTGTTTCAGCCTTATTGTATGAGAAATAATAAGTTAATAACAGTTCATTTGTAAGGTGAATCGTCATCAAAGAGTCAAAACACTGCAGATAGCGTGATATGAGGATAAATCATAAGCTAAACATGAACAAAAGGTGAGAATCAGAACCAGGAAACAAAGAACTCGAAAATAAGACTCGGACTTAACAAGACAAAAGCATAGTAAGACTTCGCAACCAGCCTAATTAAGGTGAGACACAGAACAGGCGAACACATTAGAGTAATCAACTAATGTAACAGGAGCGGAGACAAAAGAACAACAACTCAAGAACAAAATCATTTTTTCTCATGAGAAGATGGCCATAGATCACCTCTAGCTCTTCTCACCAGGCTGATTTTAACCCGAAAAGAACCTCAGCAACGTCTCAGTTGTGCTGTGAAGCATACGAGAGTCTCCATCAAGTATATCTACAAATAAAATAAACTTAATAAACAGCTGTATTTGCATCAGCACTGTTGAATTCTGGATTCTGATTGGTCAGAAGGTATTGCTTAATTCACAGGTTTATATTAATGCGCTTGTTTTAATAGTTTCTATAGTAACAGCTCATTCTACTAATAATAAACGGTACTGAAAATGATATGGTGAGTTTTTTTGTACCGTAACATTTATGGAAGGAGTCTCCAGTGTCAGCGCTTTGTAACAGTCACGCTTACAGTAACACGCTTTTTTACGGTTTCTCTGTAACATTGACAAGAAATGTTTTTTTTTTTTTTTGTCTGATTACTGTATTGTGTAACTGCGTTAGGTCGCACCCCGGCGTTGGCGTGCGCTCCGAACAAAGACGTGGCCGAGTGTCTGGCGCTGATCCTCTCCACCATGAAGCCTTTTCCTCTTAAAGACGCCGGCATCAGTGTGTTAAAGCACTGCAGCATCGCTGCCAACCATCATCCTTTACCAAACGGCTACGCCAAGGAGCGCCACGGCACCGTAGGGCTCGACAGCTGAGACACACACACACACACACACACACCTTTCTCACACCTGTATACCTGTAGACTATATAACCTACAGCCATGTTAGAAAGCCAGGAATGTACCACTGTGTGTGTGGGTGGGGGGAGTAAATTTCAATTAACAGACCTGTGCATATGCAAATATTCACTCCTTTTCACCTCGGCACACTGAAGACAGCATTTAATTTGATCTCTTCTTTTTTTTTAATCATGGGATGGATGGATGGATGGATGGATGCAAGAAACTGTGATACATACACCTGTCTTTTTTTTTTCTTTTTTTTTTTTACCTGAGATGGAAGAATGAGAGTTGTCTACACATTTCTACAAACACAACAATTCTGAAGTCGCAGCCATCACTAGCTGTAGCACTAGCTGTGAGTCTCTCCGTTACGTCATCTGCATCACATCAGACTTTCATCTAAAAAAATCAAGCAATTAAAAAAAATAGCAAGGGTTTAAGTTTGGTGTGAGGACTAGCTAACAATTAGAGAGACCATAGCTCCGCCCTCTTGTTTTCTATTGGCTCATACATCCGAGATTTGCATATTTAGATATTTAGATAAGCTTGACGTAAAGCAAACTTGTTAAAAAAAACAGAAACAAACTGGTAACGGAAGAAAAATCCCATCGAAGTCACATTTTCTCCAGGGAAAACTTATTCCGTTTGATATCTGATTGAGATGCTGATAGCTGCGACTTCAGAAGGATAATGACTGTTTAATTTTTTTTTTTATTTCCTGAATATCTCCAGATGTTTTTAGCGATGTCCAGTGCCTCTGCTAATGACGAGTGTGTCCTTACTGTCCCTTACACTCTTTTTTAACCTCTTTAATTAATTTAAATGTTAATCTCCTGCAATTTTCCTAATGAAATGAGAGGAAAACATCAACGCACACACACACACACACACACACACACACACTTACTCACACACTCACACTCAACTGTTCATCAGGTTCAAATGGCCTCATTCTTTATTTATTTACTTATTAATGCCATGGTTTGCACTTTTTTTTTCCTCCAGGAGATACCGGAAGTGTTTGTGAAGTAGGGCTGGCCCGAACACCATTTTACAGGTTTCGTGCTCAACAAGTTAAAAAATAATATTTATGTGTTACGTAATATAATGAGACATAATTATGTTTGTTACTGCAGTTCAAAATATATCCAGTAGGGGGCGTATATGATGTATTAATAGTGTATATACAGTATATGTGATAGCACAAATTAAATGAAATCACACCAAGAGATATTTATTATAATTTTTTTTTATTATTGCACAAACAAGATCAATAACATGAGAAGTGCGTCCGATAACGCGATGGTGCGATGTGTAAAGTGTTGTTTAACTAAAAACATATCAACAAACATCTGTTTACTTTCAGCAAACTTTAAAATATCCTACGGTATGAGAGTCGTACATTTCAGTAGCTGTGCAACGGTGACAGTTTTTCCGATAAGTTTTTCTCTCCCCTACATCGTGTTTTCCGTCCTACGGCTTTTTAAAGCAATAATACATTTGATTTGGTTTAAAACATATTTTATATGTCATTTTTGTTTGTATTAGATTAACTGAGATTCAGGGATACACATCAACACACTCGTATTGACGTCTGACGTCTTTGATCAGTAGTTATAGTTCTAATTAAGGCTAACTAGAGAAACTAATACCGTAAAAACGTAACGAGCGAATACTCGAGTGTTAGATTATTCGGGCCAGCCCTGGTGTGAAGGTTTTCCGTCACTCGTGACTTGCTAATACGAGACACTAAGTGATTTTTGTGTTTCAGGATCGCTGCTATAATTACGCTGCCTTCGTTGATTTCTGTTTTTTTGTTCTGTTTTTATTTTGTTTGTTTGTTTTGAGCAATAATCGTCCAAGTGCTTACACATTACCTCGTATTTCTGAACAGCTTTTCTGAATATTGGATCAGAAAAACTCGAATATTTGCACAGAGAAAACGTTTGCACACGGCAGCAGTCAAGTGTTTATTAAAACAAGAAAAATCATGAAATTAATAAAGTGTGTGTGCTGTAGTTCTGTAACAGAAGTGTTACCAACATTAGTAACGAGAAAGTAAAAAAAAACCAGAATTTGACCACAGAAACCCGAGCGTACGTCTGAACGGGACGAGTCCTTGCGAACGGCACTAATTATAACTTTTCTGCGATCTTCAGAGGTATGAGCTTACTTAAAGGCATTTATTTTCTGCTTAAACACCACCACAATGATGTGTGTTTATAAAGTCCTGCCTTTTAGTCTTTAAACATCAACTGCAACAAGCCTTGACCGGTGACTGTTACACACACACTCACTCGCTTACCTAATGCTGGAAGGAGGCTCAGGATAAACTCTGTAAAAAAGCAGTAGCCCCAATGAGGCTTTGTGGCTTTGTGGGAAATCTCTTCCCTACTATCAGTGAGGTTGTAGGTTCAAATCCTGCCTAGGCTTCTTCTTCTTCTTCTTCTTCTTCTTCTTGTTTTTTTTACTGTTTTTAGCAATGATAAATATACAAAATGAAAGTCTTAGCCATGTCAGTACCAGCAGCCCTGTGTGTAAGTAAGGGTGTGTGTGTGTGTGTGTGTGTGTGTGTGTGTGTGTGTGTGTGTGAGAGTGTGAGAGTGTGAGTGAGTGAGAGAGTGTGTGAGATGCTTGGGGTTTGAGGCCCAGGTGAGGGTGCAAAGCCTGCATGAAGAACCACAGGGCTTTTACAGATCTGGATTAATTTTCATTAGTGTAATAAAAACTAGCAATAGTGTAATGTAGTATAATAATAGTAAATAAAATGAAATATAGTAGTGATAGTTAATAAAAAAAAAAAAAAGAAAGTAGTAGATTATAAAATAACTATTGTTATATGGTCCAGAGTAGCATAACCCCTCCTTTCACCAATGCAGCAGAGAACCCCTCTATGAGCCATAACACTAACTGCTGGAAGGAGGTTCAGGATAAACTCTGTAAAAAGAAGCAGCAGTCCCCATGTGGCTTTGTGGGAAAGCTCTTGCCTCTCATTGGTGAGGTTGCAGGTTCAAATCCTGCCTTGGCTCTCTTCTTCTCTGTCTTTTGACGGTTTAGCAATGCTAAATATACAAAATATGCAAACACTTGAGCCCGCAGCAGCTTAGTGTGTTAGTAAGGGTGTGTGTGTAAATGTGAGGTATTGACACTTGGGGTTCAAGGCCCTGGTGGAGCAAAAAGCAAGGCCTTGAGCCTGCATGAAGGAACTCTGGGATTATATAAATCTGGGTTAAATTTTAATTAGTGTAGTTAAAAACTAAGTGTAACGTAGTATAATAATAGTAAATAAAATGTAGTAGTGAAAATTAAAAAACAAAAGTATAAGATGATTATTATTATTATATGGTTCAGAGTAGCATAACCCCTCCTTTCACCTCTCCCAGAGCCCCAGGTGGGACACTCCAGACTTTCACTCTCTTTCTCTCTCACTGCTGGATTTATTGCCCCACCTGGTTCCAGCACTTCGGGCTCACCTGCAGGCGGTCTCGATCTCGATCCCATGCGCCCTGCAGTGACACTCAGCCCTCACCTCCAGACCCCTGAGCCACTGGTGCCTTCACATGACAGCCCTTTTTTTTGGGGGTTTGTCTTTCGCTTTACACCACTTACACATAATGACATGTGTTTAGAAAGAAAACTCCTCCTGGGCCAAGGCTCGACCCATGACCCTCGCACACAGCACATACAAACACACCAACCTGCCCACTGAACCACCAGAGCAGACAGGCACAGCTGGAACCTTCAACATCTGTGGTGTGATGTTACAGGTTTCACGCTCACTTTAGGAAACACTCCCAGGTTGCTGCTGAGCTACACCTGAAAATATTTTTAAATATATATATATATATATAAATAAAACAATGCTACAGCAGCATGATGGTGTAGTGGGTAGTGTGGTCATCTTCTCACAGCTCCAGTGGCCCTGGTTTGATCCTGAGCTCCTATTAGTGTGTGTGTGTGTGTGTGTGTGTGTATCAAACCAAAAAAAACCCCAAGATTTCTTTATTAATGTATCTCAAATAAGATGAGTTACTGCAAGACTTAAACCATGTGCAGAGACTTCACCATGAACTAAGCTTGTGGCTTATTTCATTTTTGTTAAATTCACACACACACTTTTGTATATTTTATTTGGCAGGAAGTCACCTGCGTAGGCAGCATAAAGATAACATTTTTTTTTGAGTTTCTTAAACAAGGAAGTCCAACAATTCTGTTTACCAGCTTGTTTTTTCCACACAATTATACAATCTTGTAATAATATCATATTGGATAGTTATCACAATATCACTGCATGTCATTTATCTTCTGAAGACATTGGATTTGGATCCATTACGACTCCGTTGATGTGCTTTAAGGCCTGAACATTGTCACTCTTACTCATAAGGAGTTAAAAATTCCGAGAAGCCTGTTGAACAAAGCTGAAGTTGACAAAACATATAATTAAGTGCGTGTACATGTTTAAAATAATCTGATAACTGTAACACAATTACACGCACTCAGTAGTTCTATAATGGAGAACGTTTGGCGCCACAATAATTGGTATTTCCAGACCTTCGTGCATTTTGTGTAGAAGCTCCGCATTGTAACATTAAAAACGATAATTTAAAAAATGACATTTAGCCAATTGACATGAATCTGGAATGATTGACGGTTCTGTAGTTGTTCTAACACCCTCATGGAAGCCCCGCCCCCTTTCCCTCATCTCACATTTGTATTGTTTCTCGACTCTCGATTTTTCCACTTGAAAGTTGCACGGATGCGTCGTCGCCGCTTTCTGTCACGTTAGATGGAGAATGTTTTGAGTTCATCAATGTGAAATAAAATCTATCCATCAGTGCGCTAGACTTAGCTAAAATTAGACAAGTATATAGCTAACGTCATTTAAATATGTTTATTAGGGATGACACCGTGGCCATTAGGCTTGTGACACTGTCGAAGAACAACAACAACAATAGTGATGACACTGAAATTTTGTTCGAAAATGTTTCGAAAGAGAATAAAGGATGAAAAGTTTTGATTAAACAGCAGGGCAGACTGTCTGCGTGTGTGCAAACGCTTAACAGTTTCAACAAGGGACATTACACAAGTGAGTTGTGAAAATATTATACTGAACATGTACTGTGTTTACATTTTTTTTTTTGTTGCGTTTTTTTTTACTCCCCGTAATTCCTGGGACGTCTCATTACTCCTGTTTGATTAGGGTTAGGAATACTATTATTTATATTAAGCTATGTGCAATAACACACATATTTATATAAATACCTCATAAAGGTAGCAAAGCCAGTCTGTGTGTGTGTGTGTGTGTGTTATTGTGTGTATGTGTACACAGACATATACCTTAACATCAGGAGTCTCAAGTAAGTTTGTGAACGATGAATTCCCAACAGCTCAGAGACTCTGAGAGTGGTTTTGTGCAATAAGGACGGATGATTTTCCACTAAACATCACTACGGAATATTTCACTCAGCTAAAGACTCTAAAGAAATATAAAGACGTGTTATGATTAAAGTTTTCCTCCAAATTTCAAACAAGCACGAGAACCATATTCATTTAAACATGTTTTTTTTTTACATTATTAGTCAACAAGCGTTCTTTAGATCATTTGCCTTAAATTATTTAGTCGTTCCATATTTTTTAATTGAATCTCCGACAATCGGTATTTAAAGGGCTTTTAATATAAACATTATAAGGATGCATTTGCATATTTGAGTGTGTGTGTGTGTGTTTGTGTGCTCTTTGGTGTTTTTCCTCTCATTACAGTACGACTGAATGCTCCTACAACATACTACACTCATTTATATACTCAAGGGCTTCTCAAAAAACGACGCCATCCTTTCCTTTCCTTTCCTTTCCTTTTCTTTTCTTTTCTTTTCTTTAGTTGTGTTTCAAATACACACACTGTGTTCTACACACTACACGTTGGAGTCTGAAATCAAACTCTGAAGTTTTGCACTAAACAGAAAAATTCATTTTTGGAATTCAGAATAGAAGGAAAGCACATTTTAGTAAACAGTAAAACATCAGCTGAACAAGATACTAGACACTAGCTATCTGTAGCTACTAGCTAGCTAGCCAGTTAGCCAGTAACTTTTCCCAATTCATTTACAAGAAAGCCAACAAATTCAATTCATTTTTTAAGCATTACATTGCTTACCTTTCTTACCTTTTTTTATCTGTTTGTCCTCGTCTGCTTTTTGTTGTTTGCGTTTTTCCGCCCAGAAAGATAGGAGCGCTTCATGATCGCTGCTTCTTCCTGATCCTCTGACACGAGTTAACTAATTTAGCTACATAAATTGAAGTTTCTATTCTTTTCACACCACAAGGGGGCGCCCTGTGACTGCCTGATACGTAAACCTCTTCACTAAATGATAGTCAATTGTGCTTTTTTTTTTTTTGCATATCAATTTTTTTACATTACGGCGCCCCCTTGGTGGTCCCAGAGCCCTAAGCGAGCATTTATAGGAAGAAGAAACGGCCTTTGAAGTAAACAAAACGTGCACGGGTTTAATTTTTTTCTTATTTGTGTAAAACTACAGCACCATCTGCTGGCTCCGCCCCTTTCCCAGCTACCTATAGCTACACATAAAAAGCATTCAGCCTTCTATGCTTTATTTTTTGGCGTGTTTTAATAGTGCACTACTTATTACACTACACACTACTGCACTATTTTTACTGCTTTATATTCAGCTCATTATACCTCAACTCATTATACCACGCTCATGAAGGAAAAATAATCAGTACTTATATTGTAGCTAATGCATTAATGCTCTGTAGAACGCTAAAATGGCACAGGACCGCAGATTCACGCTGCGTTCACGCCAGGACGAAACGAGTGGGCGTGGCCTGGCCGGCTTTTTGAGCTTCGGATTAAAAATAGTTAAAAACACTTAAAAGCTGCTGTATCGTCTATAAATATCACTGTGTCATGTTTTTGAAATGTATTTTATTTTAGTTTTTTGTTTCTGTTGCTTTAAGCGGAATTATTATTTTTTTTACACTGACTTTGTATAATTATCCAAAATTAGCGAGATAATTTTAAGGCGTATTTTGAGCATTTTTTAATTAACACCTATGCTGAAAGTTGGTAAATTGAGGACTAAAGGTGGGTGAAATGGTTAAAAATATTACACCACGATACTTAAGGACAGATCCACGATACACAGTGTATATCGCAATATAGAATTTTGCGGACGTTTTGCTAATTTTTATAAATTTAAATATTTCATGAAATGAAAGTTTTTAATGTCCAGTTACTTTTTACAGTAAATAACCAAATATTTATAAAATCGCCAACACCTGACGATGATAATGACGATACTTAGTCAAGTGTATCATGCTGTTATTATATCACAATATCAATATCGTATCATTGTATCGTCCCGCCCCCAACATTTACTCCAGCAAATCGTTTGAAAATGAGAATGTTGATTTGATTTGTCTCCCGTTTATTTATTCTGGTGCACTTTTTAAAGAAATAAACAGTTATTTGTGGGTTTGTTACTCGTTAGTATGAACGCAGAGAAGGATTAAAATAAACGTTGCGTGCTTCGTGGCCGAACCGATTCGCCTACACGTGGAACTCGGGATCAAGCCTTTTATATGATCGACGTCTGAGTAAATCTGATCAACAAGCCACGTAGCGACCTTAAACTGTCAGAGATATTTGTTACTGTTTGATATTTTATGTTTCCAAGTTCACACACAGCTACGTGCTGATAATCACAATATTCTCTAATCACGATCTCAATTCTTCTGTATTTGATTTGGCAGGAAGTCATCTGGGTACTCGGCATAAAGAAAGTTTTTCTTTTTTTAATTTTTGTCAAATTTGAGATTCTCAAACAAGGAAATCAGATCATTCTGTTCACCAGCGAGTTACTGAAGTTGTTTTTTTCCACCCGATGATACAAGTTATTATTTCGCGATATTAAAAAAAGAGAAGATTTGCACAAGTCTGTCGTTCTTCTGAACGCTCCTGTGCTCGCTCATCCTGATTCCCATTTTAAAGAGATAAAAAAATTACTAATTT